TAAGTGTTGAGGCCTGGTTGAGCCACTCCCCTACCGGACCCAGAAGGCTGATGATCCGTGTTTGACGACTCGACTGTCCCGAGGGATACGAACCCCTCCAAGGACCGGTACTGACCGGCGGGCTGCTCGGTGTGGCACAGGAGGTTGGACGGGCTGAGTTGTGGGCTGAAATCGCCAGAGGAACCAAGCTGATCGCGTCGTCCTGTCTGCGACGTTAAAGAATTCTTGCGGAGTTTGGGGGATCTCCTTAAATGCCTCCTGATCAGCTCTTGGTTCTGTAGTGAAAGCCTTAGAGTAGTCTTGGGTTAGTAGTGGCCATAGTTGACAGGGTCTTATCCTGTGGTCCTTAGGAAGTCAGTCAGTAGGTTAGAGTGTCCGGGTAGGGCTACGTGGTGAGGAGTGGGACCCTTGTCGTGCACCAACACCACGATGGAYGACTACCCGATGTATGGGTTGCTGGTTGGGTTCTCCCTCTGGGGGACCCTCTGGCGTCTCCTCTTTCCTCTGGGATTTTGGCATACCTTCGCGTGTAGAGTAGGGCCCACTCGAGGTGGTACTGCCACCCAACCATACACGAAGGAGGAGGAGGAGAAGATGGCTGCCATCCTGCAGGAGAGGAAGGAGAAGGAGGCCAAGAAGAAGGCCTTGAAAGAGGAACAGGCGGCCAAACTAAAGAAGATGGAAAAAGAGATGGCCAGGGAGAAAGAGAGGTTGAAAAAGGAAGAAGAAGAGAAGCTGAAGGAGGTGGATGAAGAAGAGGAAGGACCGCCACTGCAAAAGAGTGGGCAGCACAGCGGCAGCAGCAGTGATGAGATGGAGAAGAAGATTTCGGAGTGGGTCGCCAACTTGTCCCTGGGTGAGGAGGAAGAGGTTGCTATGTACATCCCCAAGGATGAGCAAGAAGCCGCCATGAAGAAATGGGAAGCAGAAGAAGATGTTCTGACGCGGCCGGCGATGGAGGATGAACAGAGGATGGCGTGGAAGCTCGCAGTGATGAGGGAGAAGAAGAGAAGAGTGGAGGCGGCGAATGCAACAATGCAAGAACTAGCGGAGGTGAGGACTGCCTTAACAACACAATTGACTCCGCAAGTAGATCTCCAACGCAAAGTGGAGATCATCGCCCAGAGCGTTGAACGGTTAGCTAAAGTGCAAGAAAAGCACTATGAGTTTAGTCGCAGCCAGGAGATACTCGTGCGTTCGATGCGAACGGGATTACGGGACTTTGCTCGCGAACTAGTAGGCGCTGTGGATCCGAGGTGAATCATCGCCTCGAGAAGACTGAGCGTTTTTGTGTCGGCGCCATCGAAGTCGTCAAGGTCAAAGTCCCTGATTCCTACAGTGGGAAAAGGGAAGAGAACTTTGACAATTGGGAGGCCAATGTTAAGACCTATGTGCATTTGCAACAGGTCTCCCCGGATCAGCAGGTCTTAATTGCGATCCATGCACTTAGAGATGAGGCCGCGAGTTTCGCGAGATCCCTTGTTCGTGCTGCCAACTGTAGTGACGATCCAGTTGCGTACTCCTCGTTTACGTCCCTCATTGAATTCTTGAAGCTGCTGCGCGAGCGATTCACTGATGTTGCCCGTAGTGTCAAAGCCTCAGATAGGCTTCAGACAATACACTCACGCCAATGGAAGAGTGCAAGGGCACTCAAGGGCACAATGGATGAGTTGGTGGCTGTTCCTGACCACAAGGTCACGGAAACCCAGTTGGTCAACCTTTTCTACCGGGCTATGCCCGAAGCGCTGCGTGGTCACTTGTTTGACAAGAGTCAGGACCCTGCTATGACTTATGATATACTTAGCATGGAAGTGGTCGCGTTCGAGGCGAAGTCTGCGTCGATTTCCACCTTCTAGCACAAAGATTTAGACAAGGGCAAAAAGTGGAAGGGCCGCACTATCTCAGGGCAAGTTAAGACCAAGGATAGCCTTGTGCTCACTTTAGATGAGGGTAGTGTGGACGAGATCCCCTACGACCAGATTGAATGGGGATTTGAGGAGGACAATAGTGTGGGCCAGGGGAGGACTTACGCTGCTGTCGCGGCTGGAGGGAGGCCGCAAGGAGGACGAGGCCAAGGCGAAGGGGGCCGGGCCTCAGGGAGCGGGTTCCAGGGCGATCAGGGGGTTGGCGGCAGAGGAGGGAACCGCCAAGCAGGAGGTAGGGGTCAAGGTCCCCCGCAAAACCGTCCTAGGAACAGGTCTCCCTATAGAGTAGGAGGATGGCACCCAGGGCTACCTCAGGGTAGGCCGTGGGAATCTTTGGGTCTGGACCAAGCTTTATGGGAATAACGATTGAACCGGGGTCAGTGCATTTTCTGCGGTGACCCGGGGCATATCATCAAATATTGTCCCAAGTATCGAGAGACCCGAACGGCTGCTCAAGAGCCAAAAGGCAGCCGCCGGTAGGGGTAGCAACTGCCCCTACCACTAGGCCATGTGGGGAAAATAGCGCTAGCTGGTAGGAGACTCCCACACCACATGTGCCTATGGCAGAGGTTGCAGGCCGGTGTCTAGACAACTGTCCCGAGACTGCTTGTGTTAGAGTTTCGCTAGACACCTCCCTCACAGGCGTGGCGGAAGAGTTGAAGGAGAGGAGGCCCGCCTGGGCCAAGATGAAGAAGGAGAATAAAGGGCARYTGATTTTATTAGATGCAGAGATTTTTAGAAGTAGAGTAGGGGCCTAGTAGACTCAGAGGCCACCCGCAGCTATATTAGTAAGCAAGCGCTGCAGACGTTGAGGCTGGGACTTTAGGTCCAGAAACTGACAGACCCCATAGTTAGTACCCTCGCGGACAATCGTACCATGGTTGTAGAGGATTACGTAGAGGGAGTTCAGGCATATTTTCGCCTAGAGAAAGATGGGAAGGTGGAGAAGGTCCTCCACTCCCTGACTCTCCTCGTAGAGGACAGCCTCCCGTTTGATATAGTACTGGGAATGGATTGGGGAGAGGCAGTCGGGGCAACGCTCCATCTGAAGGAGCACGAGTGTAGACTCCCTAGTTCTGCAGGCGAGGCTAAGACTGCCCGCCTGTTTCATGTGTCAGGAGTAGAGAATTCCTTGGCATATTGCTGCCTTAGTGCCCTTGCGTTCGCCAGATTGGTGAAGAAGGAGAAATCAGAGGAACAGGTCTTTGTTGCCTATGTTAGGCCCGTCACTGAGCCTACGGAAGAGAAGCCGATGGACCCTGCGATTGCCAAGCTGCTGGAGGAGTTTAAGGATTTGACTGAGCCGCCGACAGGCACGGTGCCACGGCCCATCCAGCACCGTATCGAGATAGAGCCTGGCAGTAGAACTCCTAAGGGTGCTGTGTATAGGATGTCCCCGCGGGAGTTAGAGGAGCTTCGCAAGCAATTAGACGAGCTCCTCCAGAAGGGTTGGATTAGGCCCAGTTCGTCTCCTTTCGGAGCGCCTGTTCTCTTTGTTCCTAAGAAAGAGGGAGAGCTGAGAATGTGCATAGACTATAGGGGTCTGAATGCTATTACAGTAAAGAATGCTGAGCCACTGCCTAGGATCGACGATCTCTTGCCTTTTGAGCCTCCTGTGGATCATGCCATCTTTCTTCCACTGACTTGAGGAAGTCGTCCAATCTCTGGTTGACTACCCAAGCGCGGAAGTCATGTCCGTATCCTTGTAGTTGTACTAACACACTTAGCCACCTTGCGGCACTCCCCTCAGCCACAAGCACTTCCTCGTGCGGCAAGGTCAACTTGCACTTTACGTAGACTGGCACGGACCTCAACCATGTGTCAAGGTTTTCGCCCCTCTTATCCCCTGAGAAGGGCTTAGGTGAGGCGATGGCAGTGTTCGGAACCCACTGTCCTTGCCCCGGTACCTGCGCCACTCCATGCTGTGGACCCTGGGGTGCAGGCTGCTGCACTAGCTGGTGTTGGGGTTGTGTGCCCTGCGGCTGTGCCGGCTGCGAGACAGCAGGCTGCCCAGTTACGGCAGTTTGTAACGGAGGTTGGGAATACATTGTCTGTACAGGAATCTGTACCCTAGGACCTGCAGGGGGCTAAGTATTTCTCTAAGATAGACTTAAAGTCCGGATATCATCAGATAGAGGTACACCCTGATGATCAGTATGAGACAGCCTTCCGGACTAGGTACGGGCATTATGAGTTTATAGTGATGCCCTTTGGACTAACCAATGCACCAGCAACTTTTCAGCGGTGTATGAATGATTTGTTTAGGCCGTGGTTAGACAAATTCGTTGTAGTTTATCTAGATGACATCCTAGTGTTTAACCGGACCCTCGAAGAGCATCAGGGTCATCTCAGGCAAGTCTTGGAGAAGCTGAGAGAAGCTAACTTCAAGATCAATGCAAAGAAGTGCGATTGGGCGAAGACCCAAGTTTTGTATCTAGGCCACGTCTTAGACGGAGACGGCGTTAAGCCAGAAGAAGCCAGAAGATAGCAAGATCGCAGCGATTAGAGATTGGCCCACGCCACGTACGCTGACAGAGTTGCGCTCGTTCCTGGGCTTAGCGAATTACTACAGGAAGTTCGTAAGGAACTTCTCCACCATCGCTGCGCCCCTTCGCAGATTGCTGAGAAAAGAGACAATCTGGAAGTGGGACAAGGACTGCACGTCCGCCATGAAGAAGCTAAAGCAGGCTTTGATAGAGTATCCGGTCCTTAAGGTCGCCGATCCGTCCTTGCCTTTTGTYGTTACTACGGATGCTAGCCAGTACGGCATAGGGGCAGTGTTACAGCAAGACGATGGCAATGGCTATAGACCCGTAGAGTTCATGTCCGATAGGATGCCTTCAGAGAAGGTTGCGACATCTACCTATGAGAGGGAACTCTACGCTCTCAGGCAAGCATTAGACCACTGGAAGCACTACTTGCTTGGGAGGCACTTCAAAGTCTATTCGGACCATGAAACGTTACGGTGGTTAAAGACCCAGACCATGAAACGTTACGGTGGTTAAAGACCCAGGCCAAGATGACACCTAAGCTTACTAGGTGGGCCGTTGCGGATGCTCTGAGTAGGAGAGCAGATTACTTTGGGGCAATAGTACATTACCTCGATATAGGAAAGGATCTGCAGCAGAAGGTTAGAGAAGCCTACGTGCAGGACCCTATCTATAGTGAGCTCCTCACGCGAGTCAAGGAGGCCCCAGAGATCGAGCCGAACTACCGCACTACTGGAGGGTTACTCTTCGAGAAGACTAATGTCTTTGACCGGTTATGCATCCCCAATAGCGAAGAGATCCGTAGTCTGATTATGGGGGAATGTCACGACACAGAGGGTAATTTCGGTTGGCAAAAGACTTTGGCCAATCTGATGCGCGCGTAYACCTGGCCAGGGATGAAGAATGACTGCGTAGAGTATGTTCGCAGTTGCAAAGTCTGTCAGCGTAATAAGAGTTCTACGCGCGCCCCGCTAGGTCTTCTCAGACCCTTGCCCATTCCGGATCAGCCGGGAGACTCAGTGTCAATAGATTTCATGGACACTCAAGTCAAAAGCAGGCATGGCAAGAGCCAAGTCATGGTCATAGTTGACTGCTTTAGCAAGTACGCAGTTTTTGTTCCTTTGCCTTCTGAGGCGCGTACTGATTTAGTCATACAGAGGTTCTTTGACTGTTGGGTTAGTGAGAAYGGAATCCCGCTGTCTATAGTTAGTGATAGAGACAGTCGCTTTACTAGCCAGAACTGGCAAGAACTCATGGGAGTATACGGATCTAAGTTGTTGATGTCGTCCGGCCGCCATCCAGAGACTAACGGTCAGACAAAGCAAATGAACAAGATCCTACAGCAAGTGCTGCGCATGTATATTAGGCCAGATCAGATTAACTGGTATGAGATGTTGCCTAAAGTAGCTAGTGCGTACAATAACAGCGTGCATCTAGCCACCTGCCGCACTCCCAACGAACTGCACAAGTCCTTTAGACCGCGCAGACCGTTTGAGGGACTCAACCGGGATCAGATTCAGAGATTGCCGCCCGGGACCCGGGAGTTCGCTGTACAGCACGAGAAAGAACTAGCTA